AGGGGAGCTCCGTAGAATCAGAGCAACAGATCCCACCACCAGCCTGTGAATCTCCCCCCAAAAAGGGGAACTGCCCCTAGGCATCTGCGGGAAACCCTCTTCCTCCAGCCGGTTATAGGCAGACCTGCTTCCCGCTCTTTGAGTTGGGGGGGATTAGGAGCAGAACCTCTGGGCCCCTCCTGCCCGGCCCCCACCTGCTTCTCTTCCTTCAGTTCTCCCTCCCTCCCTCCAAAGGCAGCCGCGGAGGGGAAGCCAAAGCGGGGGCGGTGTGTGTGTGTGTGTGTGTGTGTGTGCGCGCGCGCGCTCAGGTTTCGCTTCCCCACGCACGAAGGTGCCTTCAGCGTTGGTGGAAATGAAAGGGGGAAGCTGGGCCCGATCCAAGAGAGGAAAGGCGCTCAGGAGGGAGCCAAAGAAAGCCGCTTCGCTTCTCGACACCCGCAGAAATGGAGTGAGGCAGACTTCCCTCCCCCAAACTAAGTATGCCTTTGCGCTTCTTTGAAGGGCGGGTCGCTTAGCCCTGAAAGGGGGGGGGGACAAGAGAACCTTCAGACGAAAGGCTGCCAAACCTCCCGGCAGAGAAAGGCCTGTCTTTCTACGTCCCTTGGTAAGGGTGGAGGCCGCGGGGGAATCTCTGTTCGCCTTGTTTTGAGACACACACCCCCCCTTCATCATCTTTTGGCAGAGAGGCAGGAGGTGAACAAAGCAAGCGGGGGGGTGGCTCCCTTCCTCCCCTGCCACCTTCCGGGGTTCGCCAAAGGGTCCCTTCAGACAGACTCCTGGTCCTTCACGGGAACGCAGCGTGGAAGGGCCACGGGTCCCTCTTAATCGCCATGGGCCACCCCAGGAGGAGGGAACCGTGCAGGGGGGGCGGGGAAAGGAATTCCGACTCTTGCCTCCTCCGAGGGGCCAAAGAGCCTTGAGAGGGGGAACGGGTGGGAGTTTTCCGGGGAGGTGAGCGCTGACCTCGAGGGCAGGGCATCCCGGAGGCCGCTCCTTCATGGGGTCTCCAGAAGCCGGAGGGGACTCAATGGCCGAGGAGAAGAACAGCCAAGAGTCAGGTCTGAAGACCAGTCAGGCCCTGGTCGATGTGGAACTGAGGGAATAAAACTGAGAATCCTTCAACCATGGGGTCGGGAAAGGGGCCTGTAAGGCCATCGAGTCCAACCTGTGGCTCATGGCAGCAGTCCTGATCAAAGGATATCTAGCTTTTCATTTCCTGGCCTCAAGTACCGGGAGGGTTGCTTTGGAAAAACCTTTACACAGCTTTTTTCCTTCATGTTCATGACATAGACAGCCCCCTTCTCTTCTGTTTCCACCTCGAAGATCCTGTCAGGTTGGGGGTCAAATTGCGTCTCCCAGTCACAGTGTCAAAAATTCTACCAGGGGACAAATCTCAGTTGGCAGACAGGCAAATCGTATGTGCGGTGTGGGTCGGAGGCTAGGGGCAGTTTTACACCGAGAGTCTTAAGCCCCTCACCCCGTGCGTCACTTTCTTATTTTTATTGATTTCTTTCCCGCCCCTTTAGACAAAGTCTCCCGGGGCGGGTTCTTACCCCAAATGCAGTCTCCTTGCTCCACCCCCACCATGCTGCCCCACTGGCAGAAGGGTCCCCATTCTGTATGACTCCTTAGAGGCAATCTCACTTGCTCTCCACCCGTCATCCCGCAGGAGCTGTCCAGGTGCTGAATTTGGGCGCTCCGGGAGCCCTCCGTCAACAAGGGGCGGGTGGAATAAGGACATAAGAAGAGCCCTGCTGGATCAGGCCAAGTGACCATCGAATTCAGCTTCCTGGATCTCACAGTAGCCTCACAAGGCGCCTCTGGAAGCACATAAGACAACAAGATCCCTGTCTCCTGATCCCCCTCCTCATGCCCGGGCAGACTCATGGAGGGAGATATGGTCTTTTAGACAGCTTGGACCCAAACCATTTAGGGCTTGATAGGTTAAAAGAGGGTGAAAGAGGAGAGTGCAAAAAAGGGCCTGAAACTCAGCATCAAAAAAACTTAGATCATGGCCATTGGTCCCATCATCTCCTGGGAAATAGAAGGGGAAGATATGGAGGCAGTGACAGATTTTACTTTCTTGGGCTCCATGATCACTGCAGATGGTGACAGCAGCCACAAAATTAAAAGACACCTGCTTCTTGGGAGGAAAGCGATGACAAACCTTGACAGCATCTTAAAAAGCAGAGACTGTTCAATCTTTTGCTTCTTAGTTGGTCCCTTTGTGCAATTCCCAAAACATAAACAAAAACATAAGAGTAGCCACTTTAAATGTGAAAGGCCTAGGAGCTGTATTAAAGAGAAGGAAAATAGAATTATTATTTAAAAAAAGTAGAGTTGACATTATCTATCTACAAGAGACACATCAATTAAAGGATGGAGTCAATGAA